AAAAAAGTAAATTAAAAACTATTTAAAAATGAAAATAGAAAATATTCAAAACAAACTATAATAGAATATTAATGACACAAAAAAACTGCTGCAATGATGCTGTCAGTAAATTTATAGTATTAATTCGTAGAGTACATCAGATCTAGTTCTGCTTGTGATACTGTGGGAACTGTGCACTTGGTCATTTGTGGCTTTATTTTGGGGTTTATTATCTTTTAGGTTTATTTAAGATTGGCTTACTTTTGGAAATGATTTTTTTCAGCTTCTTTATTTTTACCTCTTGAAATCAACAGGCTTACCTGGAGTTTTTCACGTCCAGCGAAAATGTCACTGCGCTTCTGCAAGTGCTGAAGAAGTATGAACCTCGTGTGAACTACCACATAGTCAACGTTCAGGTAAAACAACAGCACTCCCTACAAGAACCATGGTAGAATCTCCAGTTCTTAACATTTTAACTGTTTTCTCTTCTTTTTAGGGCAAGAATATTACGAATGCCCATGAAATGCAGCCCAACGCTGTGACATGGGGCATATTCCCCGGCAGAGAGATCATTCAGCCCACCGTCGTGGATCCAGTCAGCTTTATGTACTGGAAGGTGATGCTTTTTCCACCTTAGCAACCACTAAGCAATTCAGAATTATTAGGTCTTGTTTAAACGGCTTGCACATCCTCATTGACCTCACATTTGTACACTGTCTTAAGCGTTCACTCACTGTTACTGTCTCGGTGATAAGATAAGCTAGACTCAAAACCATTGTGTCTGTCTGTTCCCACAGGACGAGGCTTTTGCGCTGTGGATTGAACAGTGGGCGAAGCTATACGAGGACGAGTCTCCCTCACGCATGATCATTCAGTACATCCACGACAACTACTTCCTCGTCAACCTGGTGGACAACGACTTCCCGCTCGACAGCTGTCTGTGGCAGGTGATCGAAGACATGTTCGCGCTCCTGGACTCCCCTCGAGAAACTCAGGAGGAGGGAAGTCAATCGTAGCATCACAGAACTCAAAAGTCTGCCTGCGCTGCTATTGAGACGTCTCGACGCACACGCACATACTGAAAACTACAGTGTTTTTAGTCCGTTTCAGAGCTTAATTCGTCATTACTCCCAATGCATAGGGAAAAAAATCATGACAAATGTAGCACTACATAAGATGATTCGCCTTAATCTTTAAAGGGACTTGTGTTTGCAGTTTTGGGTGCCATTTTCTTATATCCTTTTATCCTACATTAACTATTTATAGACAGTATTTTGGATATTGCATGTTCAATATATGATTGTCGAAGTCAAACGTGTGGACACAAAATACAGTATATGGCTACTGTATTTCACTCAGACTTTATAGGTGAATCTTATAAAAACATGTCACATCCAATGTCAAACAGGTCATATTTCTATGCAAAATCAAGAAAAAAAAAAAATTGTTTAAAGGGATAGTTCACCCAATGAAATGAAACTTCTCTCATTTACTCACCCTTATGTTGTTCCAACCCATATGACTTGCATGTATCTTCAGAACACAAATGAAGATATTTTTTATGTTCTCTCTGGTTTTTTTGTCGATCCGTTGAAAGTCCATGCAACCAAAATTTTGAAGCTTCCAAAAGTACATAAAGACATTGTAACAAACAAAAGGAGCAATCCAAGTGTTCTGAAGAGATATGCACGCTTTATATAATGAACAGATTTAATTTATGCTCTTTTACATGTAATTTACATTGAAGCTCAAAAATGCATGTTTAATGCGCAAAAACAGAGGTTTGTTCTCACGTGTCACACAAATACGTTTCCGCTTCTGCAAGAACCAGTGAGGTTAGTTCCTGCACATTTCCAGCAAGTATGGTCGATGTGCGTTGATCAATGTTTATATATGAATAAAAGCCTAAATTAAATCTGCTCATCATATTAAAAGATGCATAATAAGATTAATTAAAATGCTTGATTCATTAAGATTATTTTCACAATGTATTTTTAGAAGTTTGAAGGTTTTGCATGCATTGACTTTAAACAGATGGACAAAACTGCACAAGTTTTATGGATTTGGAACAACATGAGGCGAATAAATGCTGATGATTCTTTTTTTTTGTGAACTATCCCTTTAAAGATTTTGAAACATTTCCCATTTTGCTGATAATAAAATGTTCACTCTAAATTGTGACCCTGGAGCACAAAACCTTAAGTCTTATGTCGCTGGGGTATATTTGTAGCAATAGCCAAAAATACATTGTATGGGTCAAAATGACTGATTTTTCTTTTATGCCAAAAATCATTAGGATATTAAGTAAAGATCATGTTCCGTGAAGACATTTTGTAAATTTCCTACCATAAATATATCAAAACTTAATTTTTGATTAGTAATATACATTGCTAAGAGCTTCATTTGGACAACTTTAAAGGCAATTTTCTCAATATTATGACTGGTTTTGTGGTCCAGGGTCACAATTCTCATTGCCTAAATGCATCTGGATGTTTTACTTTTGATGATCATTACTGTGGTTAAAAACAACTACCATGATATATAAATAATTTACAATTTAAGTTTTATAGAACTTTTCCATGTTACAGTAAAGAGAATTGGGAGTGAACGTGTTCGTTTTTAATGAAAACAAATACTAGAATACTAGAGTGAATACTAGAGGAGTAACTGGTTTGTAACGGTTGTAATGTGGTGCCATTATGGATATAAACTTTTGATTTTTTTTTTTGAGTGGTCTGACCATTTTTGTTCTGCTGGCGATAGAAAGCTCAATAAACAAACGCTCCTCCCCCTGTGCTAACATGCCCACGTTTGACATTATCACTGAATTATTTGTTTGCTTGTGATTCACATAACATTTATATTTGGAGTTCACCTACATCTCAAAGTCCATGCCTCTGTTGGACGCGCTGCGATTGATAATGGTGAAGGATTGGTGCGCTGCCACCAGCAGCATGTTACGTTAAACCTGAAGTTACTTCAACAGCTGCACACATTCGAATCCACGTGCGTCGGCACACCAAACATCACACTTGTTGGAAAGAAGCCAACGGTATGAACTTGACCTTGTTTTTGCTTGAACAGACATGTGCAATCTTCATTGCTTAAACATGGTTATTAAACGTTCATTTATATGTGATTTTTTTTTTTCCTTAAAGGGGTCATATGATGTTGCTAAAAAGAAGATTATGTTGTGGTATAATGCAATGTGTTTATGCGGTTTAAGGTTCAAAAAACACATTATTTTCCACATACTGTACATTATTGTTTCTCCTCTATGCCCCGCCTTTCTGAAACGCGTCGATTTTTACAAAGCTCATCATTCTGAAAAGCGAGGTGTGCTCTGATTGGCCAGCTATCCAGTGCATTGTGATTGGCCGAATTCCTCAAGCGTGTGACGGAAATGTTACGTCCCTTACCATATTGTGATGCCTGCGGCAACCACATGTGACGACCCCAGCTGGACTCCGCTTCCTACTGGCTAACAACATCGACAAACAACCATCTTACCCAGACCAACTCACTTCAGGATGACAGGTGACACAGCCTCGACACCTGCTGCACAAGCTCGAGGACCCTCACCTTGCTACAGCCTACATCACCACAGCACACCACCTGACAGCATCCACCATGGATAAGCTACCACTAAATATTGTAGAAACTTAATTTGCTGTAAAGTTGCTTTGCAACGATTTGTATCGTGAAAAGCGCTATACAAATAAACTTGAATTGAATTAAGCACACTTTTTTTCCACAAGGGAGCCTTTGATGACAGCCTCTTCAGTCTCTTGGACTCTTTTATCTTTCAACTGATGAAAAATTAATGGAAATGTTCCAGTAATCTAGAATTTAAGCTCCACATTGCTTAACACTGATAAGACAGTGTGAACAATAAAGGTGAAAGTCAATGTTTATGCGTTTATTCACAGGCACACTGGTTTGATTAAGCACGGACCAGATTACCGTGACCTAATAGCTATTAGAGATACTAAGTGCACGATGACCTTGTCTATCTTGTGCTAACATGGCGAGATTTTAAAGAGTGGTGGACTGCGTCTGATTTACCTGGGCCAATAGCGTGCTGTTAACGGTGGCTGAGCAATCAGCAGACACTCTGTTCCTGATGTGTCTCTTTCTCCAGGTAAGCCAGGCTCTCTGCAGCACAGAGCGCTCACACTGCACCAGAAAGAGAAGGATAAGGTTAAGAATTCTTTGTGACAGTAATCAAATAATAGTATAGTTGTCAGCACCTTGTTGGGAGGTTGCTAACATATTCTGGCTGCTTTCTTGTAGGGATTTGTGGGCCCTAGACTCTCAGAAAAATGGTTCAAAAGCTGTCACTGGAGCGGTACCCTTTCAAAAGGCACTTATATATACACTTTAGATACCAATATGTACCTTTAAGTTTCCAATATGCACCCTTTAGGGTTAAATAAGACAATTAAGTATACCTTTTGAACATGTTCTGCCCCAGTGACAGCTTTTGTACCTTTTTTCTGAGAGTGTACGCGAGAAGATATGCCCCGACAATACTAGAAATACAGTTTTGCCACTACAAACATGACAATTACTCTGAAATCACTAAAAATAAGCACACTGTAAGTTTTGAACAAATAATATGTCAATTTCTTTCAGTGTAATGTTAATTTATATCTATAAGGAACCCTGTATATTTTAGGTGCTATGACTGCACATTAAGTGTTTCACTGTTTTTAATCACCTTTCACCTTTATCAGTTCATCTAAAGAGCAATGTGACAAATAGTTACTGAAAGTACAAATAAATAATGTAGAGATTATTATAAAGTTGTACAACTGCTTGTATAATAACAAAAATATGTTAATATATTATATATTTGATGGTTAAATTTAAAAAAAGAATGCAAGTAAAATAAAGCAATAAGCCCCGTGAAGCCGTGGTTTACAGTGAATTTATAACAGCTAAGGGACGTTGTTAGGTACGACGTGAAGCGGAGTGCCTAAAATCCCCTTAGCTGTTATAAAACGGTTATTCCATATACGTAGTACGGTTTCACAAAATAAAACAAAGCAAATAAAGTGTAATGATATTAATAAAACAGTGTTCTTCCACCAAACAATGTAGTTCCTCAGAATCAGTTGTGGTTCCAACAAA